ATCCTCCGATGGTAACCTCGACGGGTTTCATTAAATTATCCGATCGTCGAAGATTTTCGCTTTGTAGAGTTCGTCACGCCTGAAGGTTTCTGTTTTAGCTTGCGAGTTTCCATTGAAGTTTCCGAGCTTGGATTGTGAGGATTTTGGCTTCAATCTCAAGTACCCATTTCACTCAATTTTCGGTTAAGGTTTTCTTATTTGTGAGATCTCTTAAATATTTTGATGGATTTCTGGCTTGTTTCCAAGGCCGTCCTCTTTCGGTGAAGAACTTGGTACACTCTTTCCTTATTTTCCTATCGATTGCATGTTTTAGGGAATTTTCTCACTCTTGTGGGTAAAGCTCATTTTTTTCTCTAAGACTAGCTATTTTCTCAAGTGTTTGATTAATGGTTGTCACATCTGGAACCTCCTCGTCTTCTACTTCTGATAATTCCTCTTCCTTTGATCATGGGACTCCGAGTTCTCGTCTTCCTTTCCACCCTGATGATTACACACATCCATGTCATCCTCTGTATGTACATCCCTCTGACTTGTTGGGGTCCTCCTTAGTTACTGAGCCTTTTGATGGATCCTGCTATGGGAGTTGGCATATGTCTATCCTAGTCGCTTTGTCCGTTAGGAACAAACCGGATTTTATTCATGGGACCTCTGAGAGACCTCCTGAAGGTTCTCCTCTTCTTTGCCAATGGCAAAGATGCAATGGCCTGGTTGTTGCATGGTTTGCCAACTCTGTTACTAAGGATATTCACCGCACTGTTGTGTATTCTGGGTATGTAAAAGATATCTGGAAGGAGCTTGAGGCTAGGTAAGTGCAAGCTAATGGGGCAACGATTTTTGAATTGAAAAAGAGATATCATAGCTCTTAGGGTTCTCTTGACATAGCTGTATACTTCAATAAGATTAAGCAACTCTGGGATGAGCTTGCTTCCCTATCTGCTAGTTCAGATAATAGGTGTACCTGTGGTGGTAGTGTTAAGTATGAGGCAGAACAGAGGGTTTATCAATTTCTCATGGGACTCAATGATACATATGTGCAAGTTAGGAGAAACATACCCATGATAAAGCATATCCCTTCCATTGACACCGTGTACAATATCCTTTGGAGTGATGAGAAACAGAGGCAAGTCTCTGCTACTTCTCACTTCTCTTCAGAATTTGCCTCCTTTAATGCTGGGGTCTCTAAACAACCATATGCTCTCAGGGTGAGCTTTAATTCTCAGAAGTCCTCAGCACTTGTAAATACTGTACGAAACCTTGTCATAATATTGAGAAATGTTATACGCTTCATGATTTCCCACAAGGTTTCAAATTCACTAAGAATCTTGGTGCCAGAAAGGCTTCAGAAATGTGGCAGTTGATTCCTCCTCTTCTCAGCAATGTCTTTCTAATTTAGCTACTGTTGTTGGTCCAATCAATTGTTCTAAGCAATTTGTTGGGGTTCCTAGGTTGACAAAGAAACAGTACTCACAACTGATCCATCTTCTATAGCAGACTCATGTCAGTCCTAACTCATCCCACTCATTCATGGCTTCAGTACTCTTTGCTGGTAGGGTGGCCACTCACAGTGTTTTGCTTAAGCCTGATTTGTTTTCCAAAGTACTCTCTTTGATTGGATAATAGATTCTGGTGCATCTGATCACATGACTTCTCTTAAGTCTCTTCTTTTCAATATACATCCTCTTGTTATTCCTTGTCTTGTTTCTCTTCCAAATGATTACAAGGTTAAGGTCCACAAATGTGGATTCCTAACTTTGTTTCATAATTTCACTTTGCATAATGTGCTTTATGTCCCTATCTTTCAGTACAATCTCATTTCAATTAGTCAGTCAAATTTGATGGAATTGCACCGTTTACTAAGGCTTTGTGTGTCTTACAGGGCCATTCTCTGAAGAAGCCACTGACTCTTGGTAAACTGGACAATGGCCTGTTCAAGCTGCAGATTCCTGTGTTTAACTCTTCCAATTTTGTTTCTACTGTTTCCCTTACTTTTCCTAGTTCTGTTGCAAGTGATGTTTCTAGTGCTTCTTATGCTCGCAATTGTAATTCTGCTCATGTTGTTTCTAATAAAATGGATATTATTTGGCATTTTAGACTTGAGCACATTCCTTTCTCTAGAATGAAAAATATACATGTTATTAATTCCTCTCTTTCTAGTAAATAGTCTTTCCCTTGCTCTATTTGTCCCCTAGCAAGGCAAACTAGACTTCCCTTCTCTGACAGCACCATTCATTCCACAACCCCTTTTCAGCTGGTTCACATTTATACCTGGGGCCCTTATTACTCACCTACCTCTAATGGTGCTAGATATTTCCTCATTATTGTAGATGACTACTCTAGGCAACCTGAACTCACCTTCTAGGAGCCAAAAGCAATGCCTTTGATCTCCTCAAAAGTTTTATTGCCATGGTAGAGACTCATTTTCATTATCATGTTCAGACTGTTAGAAGTGACAATGCTTGGGAATTTGGATCTAATTCCACATGCACTAAATTTTTCTCAGACAAAGGAATCATTCACGAAACATCCTGCCCCCATACTCCTCAACAAAATGGTATTATAGAGAGAAAATACAGACATTTGCTAGAAACTGCAAGGGCCTTGTTGTTTCATCCAAATTATAGTTTTTTGTGGGGGAATTGTATTCTCACTGCTAATTATCTCATTAACAGATTTCCTACTTCTTTATTGAGGAATAAAAGCCCTTTTGAAGTGTTTTATGGCAAGTCCCCTTCTTCTGCTCATCTTAGGCCCTTTGGTTGTTTTTGTTATGCCATTGTCCCTAAGGTTCGTAGAGACAAATTTGCTCCCATGTCTATCCCTTGTATTTTTCTGGGGTATCCTTTTGCTAAGAAAGGTTACAAATTATACAATCTTTTTCATGAACATATCTTCCCTTTTACCACACCTTTCTCTGACTTTTACTCCTTACACTTTTACTTCTTCCTCTACCCCTGATGATTATTTCTTTGTTCCTCCCAATCCTACTTCTCAGGTTTCTGCTTTTGTTCCTTCTTCTCCTGCTTCTTTCTATGCTCCTTCTCCTATTCCTCCATCTCCTCTTCCTTCCTCTACCACTTCTCTCTCTCTTCTCCTCCTATTGCCGCTCCTCTCAGAAAGTCTTCTAGATCCCATAATCCTCCTAATGACCTCTCTAATTATGTCTGCCAACTTCCATCTCCATCTTTCTCTTCCTTATTAGTCCCCTCATCTTCTTCTACTTGTGCTTCTTCTGTGTTTGAGCCATCCTCGTATTCTCAGGCTGCATATGTTCCTAAGTGGCAGGATTCCATGAGAGCTGAATTTGCAGCCTTGGAGGCCAATGGCACTTGGTCCATTGTTGAATTGCCTCCTAGTAAGAAGCCCATTAGTTGTAAGTGGGTGTAAAAAATTAAACACAGAGTTGATGGTAGTGTTGATAGATATAAAGCTAGATTGGCTGTCATGGGTAATACACAAGTTGAGGTAATTGAATTTCATGAGACTTTCTCCCCTGTGGCGAAGATGTCTACTATTAAGACATTGGTGGTCGTAGTTGTCAAGAAGCATTGGTCTCTCTTCCAACTTGATATCAACAATGCTTTTTTGCATGGTGACCTTGATGAGGAGGTGTTCATGAAGTTGCCACCTGGTTATTTTGTTACTCCACCTTCCACTTCTGGCCAGTTGGTGTGTAGACTTCAAAAATTCCTTTATGGGCTTAGGCAGACCTCCAAGCAGTGGTATGCTAAGTTGTCCCAGGCTCTTTCCTCCAGAGTCTATCATCATTCCCTTAATGATTACTCTCTTTTCATTAGAGTTTCTATGAACTCTATTGTGGTGCTTGCACTCTATGTGGATGATATTATCCTAACTGGTACTGATGATGTTGAGATTTCTTCTTTGAGTCCTTCCTTCCTTGATGATCAACTTAAGATAAAGGATCTTGGTTCACTTAGTTATTTTTTGGGCATTGAGGTGTCATATTCAGATTCTTGGGTTCTTTTACATCAGAAGAAGTTTATTCATGATCTTCTCTTTTAGTTTCACTGTTCAGTTGTTTCTCCTGTGGTCTGTTCTCTCCCTTTGATTGCTAAACTTAAAGCCAAAGAGGGAACTCCTATCCTTAACCCTGAGATTTACAGGTCCTTGGTAGGTAAGCTCAACTTTCTTACTAATACCAGACCTGATATCTCCTTTGTTGTCCAGCATTTATCTCAATTTATGTAGTCTCCTTGTTTGCAACATCTGGAGGCTGCTCTCCATTTACTAAAATATCTGAAGGGTACTACTTATTCTGGTGTCTTTTTCAACAATACTCCTAATCTTTCTATGACTGCTTATTGTGATAGTAACTACATTGCCTGCCCTAACACCAGGAGGTCTATCATAGGTTCTTGTATCTTGTTGGGTGGTAGTCTTGTAGGTTGGAAGTTTAAGAATTAGCCTGTTGTGTCCATGTCTTCTATTGAAGTTGAGTGTAGGCCTATGAGTAAGGCTGTTAATGAGCTTACTTGGTTACGTAGACTGCTATTGGATTTGGGGGTCAACTGCCCTTTTGTTCCCCTATTTTGTGATAACCAGGCTGCCATCCACATTGCAAAGAATTCAGTTTTTCATGAGTGCACTATACATATTGTGTTGGACTACCATCTTGTCAGAACCAAGATTGCTGAGGGGCTCATTCAGTTGTTACATACCTCTTCCTTCACTCAGCTTGCGGATATCTTCACCAAGACATTGGCTGGATCTGTTCATCATGGTCTTCTTTCCAAGTTGAGCCTCTTATCCCCTCCAACTTGACAAGAGGAGGGGGGGGGGAGGTGTTGGAATTACTTAGTCATGTGTTTTTATCTTTCTATTTTTATTTGTACTAGGCTAAGCCCAAACATAATTATTTTTCTGATTATATTCTTTAGTCATTGGGCTTATTCCTTTAGCTGGACTTCGGGTCAGCTATATAGTTTAGTTAGATATTGTATATCGACACTTTATCATTTTCTTCTCCAGAATGTTCGAATAAAAGAGGGTCTCTTCTCTCTTATTCAATACAGTAAACCCTAGATTACTCGCCATTGATTTTAGTCCAATTCTCGCTATTAACAAAATCATCCGTCGGCCTCGTCACCAGTGAACGCCCTGCATTCTCCGCTAAATCTTTCATTTATTGTTCTTATTTTTTTTCTTTCTTTCCTTCTCTTATTTTAGTTTATTTCCTTAATTCTTCGACCCATTTCTTAATGTTAACCTTCAAAATCTTATAGCACAACTCCAACCAAAACTTTGCAAATTCACAAAAATAATAACAAAAATCTCAAAAATAGCTTATTCTCTAATGATACAATTTTTCCATTTTTTCTTTATAAGGACTTGAGTTGAAACAAATATACAAAGAAGAAACAACCTTCAAAGTTCAAATTCTTTTTTCAGTTTTCTCACATTCAAATTTCACTCTGTAAAGCTTTCTAGAACAAAAAATGTGTTAAATTTTGAAAAAGGTGAGATCAGAAAGAGATAGAGGAGAAAACTTGTTCTAATTACTAGGACAAGGCATCGAACATGTGAATTGCAATCTTATGAAACTTCTTCTTGTACTTCTTCACTTATATGAATGAAAATTTATGAGGAAAATCCTAAGGGGAGTAACAGAGCTAAGCACCACAGAAAATGAAATCCTAAGGGGGGTGGTGGAGTTGGTGGGTTTCGTCTTCAATGGGAAAATGAAAAGGAAATTGAAACATGAAGGGGGAATGGCTCGGGTAATGGGCTAAAAAGCGGTGGATTCGTAAAGGGAATCAGGTATTAAAATTAGGAAAGGGTTATTTAATTTCGAGCTTGCCACGTGTTATTTCATCTAAATTAGGGATATATTTGTTTCACACTACGACGGTAAAGTTCCGATTGAAGGGATAGTAAAATGGAGGGTATATTTAAATTAATTTTAGGCGAAAATCATGTATGTTCCGATTGAACACTTCATGTAACACAAATTTGTTCCAAATAAATACTTTTGCGTGACATGTCACATTAAGTATAATGCACCTCTGTTGGGCGCGTGAAGGGATAAATTTTTGCTGACTGTTGACTCTCCTAACGTTAAAATGTTGACGTCAACTAGCCCAACGGATCTATACATTCCCAAATTAAATTAGAACCCTAATTTCTCCATCTGAGACCCGTTTCTCTCTTTCTTTCTTCTTCTGTTCTTTACTCTTCTTCCTCTGTTCTTTACTCTTCTTCCTTTGCTGTGTACATCTTGTTTCATTTTCTTGTTTCTTTTCTCATAGCTGAATCTTCTCTATCTTGTTTTCTTATTTTTCCTCCTATTTGAAACATTCAAATATCACAAAATTCAGTGTACGAAGAGGACCCTGATTTATGTTGTTGCGGTGATTATGCTAAGTTGAAGACCTCGACCACCTCAGCAAACCCAGGCCGCCGATTTTATGGTTGTAAAATTTCAAGAGTGAGTAATTAGTTTCATTGGTTATGAAATTTTTCGCTTTTTGTTTCTTATTAATCAGTAATGTGAATGCATTTGTTGGTAGGAAAATGGTGGATGTAATTATTTTAGATGGTTTGATGGTCCATCTACGGGCCCATCGGAGAGGGAGCAACTACCAAGTCGGGCGATGTTGCATTTAATGAGTGATCGACTAAGAGTGAAAGTAAAAGAACTTGAAGAAGAAAGTGATAAATTAAAACAGAAATTGAAGGATGTTAAAGTGCAAATGGAGTCTCTAGTAGTGAACTGCAAGGAGGCTGAACAACAGAGGGATTGGGCAAGAGCCAAATTCAAGATGCTTATGTTTTTTTTTGTATTTTCATATGTATAGTCTGGATTATGGTCGTGTAGTTCCATGTACTTTTATGCACAGCTAAACTCGTAGTGGACTAGATAATGGTCTTATGTATTGTAGCAGTAGAACAAGTTGTTTTTTATTGAAACTTTGTATTGATCTCCCAGAAATTTATGGTATTTTGAAGGCTGCTACTATTTTTGCAAGAATCTGTGATACACCAAAAATCTTTTAGCTAATCAATTTTGCAGTTTTTAATAGATGATATCTCTGCCCAGAACTATAGATTATTCAGTTAAAGAGCTCTCTTTTGCTGTGAGCGTGCTTATTTTGTTGGTCTTCATCTTGGAATCCATTTCACTTCCTTGTAACTCCATTCCAAGAGGATCTGCTAATTTTACTTTCTTTATACCTTTTCTACCTTTTTCTTCTTTTTTTCTTTTTCGAATGTTTTCTTGTATCAAGCACACAAGATTGAAATTCTCGCTGGAATCTTGTGATTTGGTATGAGTGGATACAGAGAAATAAAATATCATAAATAGAAGCTCATACACCAATAAGGATTACTATTAAACTACTCTCAATTGAGCTCAAATGTAACACTGCAACTCCAATAAAATGGTACCAAAAGCATAAGTGCTTCATAAGTTTAGCAGCATCAATACATCGACAAAAGACCTAAATTAACATCATCCCTAGACATCAATATTGTTCAATATTACATAGACAAAAAACTAAAACAGTTCACTTTTAGAACTACTTCTTGGTTGTTGATGATGAAGTATTCACTTTATTCCTTTTGTTGGCCTTCATTTGTTGCAATTGTGAGGTGGTGACTGCATCTTTTCCTTCCATTTCAGGCCCCATGGAACAAAACCAATATCAATATTGGTTGGTGAGGCACTATTCACTGTTGAGAATCCTTGTAGAACTCTCTCACTTGAGGTACAAGGCTAAAAAAATAAGGCAAAAGAATTATTAATAGTAGACCAAATATAGTAACTATTGTTCAATATGAAGAAATAAAATAGAAGTGAACATACATTAAACACTTGGTTTCCAGTTTGAGGGTCAGAGTATACACCAAACCCAATAGTTCTAGGCCTTTTGTTTCCTCCAGTTGCAGCAACACATTCAGCAGAATTAGAACCCTTAGTCTGACTAGATGAAGCATCTCTTGGACTTACAAATGGGGTTCCTCTTCCATTACCTCTTCTACTTCCACCTCCTCTGCCTTTCCCAGCACCTCCCCTACTTTGGTTAACTCTTCTAACAGCTGTAGTGTCTTCACAAACAGAGCTTGGTTGGCTTGGTTGGCTAGGTTGGGCATTTGATTCTCTAGGCTGTGAAGAATCCCCCACTCCAGACTACAACACACAACAAAACATGTAAGACAAAAGAATAGTGAGAAATATATGTAGATAGAATGTATAAACTTACTCCTGTTTGACACATTTTTCTATTGTGGCCAGTCTGTTTGCATTTTGAACAAGTCATTTTGACACCCTTCTTTGATATATTTCCGTACTTCTTTTTTGGATCATCCTTAGCCTATCTTCTACACTTTTTAGGTCTACCTGGCATTGGCTTTGGCAGAGGAGGCTCTATTGATGGATTTGAGCTTTCAGGCCACATCTTTAGATTGGGAATGGGTTGAATATAGTAACTGTAGGCCTTCAAAAATGTATCATTCCTATACCAATACTCTACATGCTCATCAGGATTTAAGTTTAATTTTTAATAAGCACAAACTGCATGGGGGCAAGGAATACCTCTTAACTGCCATAGCCTACAATCACAAGTCTTGTTTCCCAAATGAACCCTAAACCTATATCCATTGTCTAGAATTTCAAAACCAACTTGTGCATTCCATATAGCTTTATACTTCTTAGAGTACTCTTTATTTTTCTCTTGTATTGTTCTTGCCATAGGAGAAATATCTGTAATCCATGTTTTAGCAAAATTGATCATATCCACATGTCTGTTAATTAGTTGATGCCTAATTTCCTCTAACATGGTGATAATAGACTTATGCCTAGCAGCTAAAATCCAAGAATTGAAAGTCTCACTCATGTTGTTCTCAACAATATCACATTTGGCATGAATTTTAAAATAGGCCCTGCACCATGTTTCCTTTGGATAATGCAACAAATCCTCACATATTTCCTTCTTACCTAATTTACTCAATGCTTCCACCTCCTCATTAAATTTGACTTCAAAGCTAGCTTTTGAACATCTCCAGAACTGCTTTCTTCTAGCTTCTCTTCTCCATTTAATATGCCAGTTACTCCAGATATGCCTAGCACACATTCTTTGCTCTACATTTGGCAATAACTTCATTATGTCAGGAACAAGTCCCTACAAAATAAAGTACTTAGAAGATTAGAAAGTTTAGAAGAATATGATCAAAAGAAGAACAGAAAGTTTTGATGAATATAATCAAAAGAAGAACAGAAAGTTTAGATGAATATAATCAAAAGAATAACAGAATGTTTAGATGAATATAATTAAAAGAAAATCAGAAAGTTTAGAAGAGCAGAAATATTACCTTTTGCATATCTGACATTACAGTCAAACCTTCACCAGTGCCCAAATTTAAGTCATCAATCAAATATCCTAAGAACCAACTCCAGCTATGTTTTGTTTCTTGATCCACTATTGCCCAAGCAATAAGAAATATTTGATTGTTTCTATTCCTTCCAACAGCAGCAAGAAGTTGACCTCCACAAGCTCCCTTAAGAAAACAACCATCAAATCCTATGATTTTCCTACACCCATCTAACCATCCTTTCTTGAAGGCTTAAAAGCATACATAGAAATATACAAACAAATTCTTCCCATGATCAGTCTCTCTATCAATTTTAACCCAGCATGAGCTTCCTGGATTAGTTTGCTTGATGATGTCTGCATAATCACATAACCTTGAGAATTGCAGCTTCCAATCACCCATATTTTCCTTCAGAACTTTATGTTTTGCTCTCTGACACACAATCCTACCAACATAAAGACCCAACTTGTCTCTAACTAGCTCTTGAATTTCCCAAAGCCTTATATATGGCCGGGAAACTATCCTATCCTTGAACTTTTTGGCAATAAGGTTAGAAGTGCAAAGCTTATTTTTGTTAGTAGGAATGCATTTATATACAGGATGATAGTTAATGACTCTAAAATCACCAGAGTCTCTATCCAAAGAAGCAGCCAACAACCATTTACATGTATTTGTTTTACACTTAGCCCTTACCCTATGAGGCTCATTAGGCCTTAGTTTAATTTGCCTCCTATACTCAAAAGCATAATCTGCCACAACCTTTCTAAACTGTGTTACATTCTCAACTACCATACCAAGCTCAAATACAGCCACCTCACAAGCTTCATCATATCTTACTTTTTTACTTCTCCTCCTAGAGGGTAGATCTACTCCTCTAACAGCTTCTGCATCTAGCTCCTCCCTGCTATCATCACTCCAACATTCAGAGCTACTGATATACTCTTCATCCCCCCCCCCCCCCAATTTTTTCTGCATATTTGGTAGCCTTGTCTACCCCAATATCCTCAAACCCTCTATCTATACCACCAGCCTCTCCAACAGGTATCTCTTCTGTAACAGGAGCTTTTTTCTTCTATTTTTTATTTCTTTTGTCTTGTCTAAGAGTTCTCAACTCCTCATCTACATCTGAGTCATCCTCTTCAGGTATATCTTCCAGATCTGAATCACTACTCTCCACCTCTGAAAGATGACTTTCTATATCTAACAGACCAGTGCAATCACCTCCCAAACTTTCAACTACCTCTTCTACAACAATTTCTTGTAGGTTAAATGTCTCACCATCTCTATTATTTAATAACAAAGTTTCACTCTCTCCAATTAGGTAGCCAGTAGGTCTCTCCCCATCTAGAGTTAAAGCATGGTCAACAACATGTTTAACCCATATTTCAAAGTTGTCTCCATGCTTTAAGTCTTTTATTAAGCCTAATAGATGTAGGTCCGACTCCACCAAGTGAAATTGTTTGGTCTCACTATTCTGATAATAAAAGCCCTCGACAGTCGCATACCCTATTTCTTTAGTATAAAATTCCAGCTCCGTAATAGAAAAGTGGTCCTTGTCCATATACATACCTGCTAGTTCACTCTCACCAACATAAGTGGGGACAGGAATCTCAGAAAAGTAGCCCCCATGGTGCATTTTTGTGAATATAATTTCCTCCGACATTTGAATTAAAGCTGAATAAAATCGAAAAGAGAGATTAGAGACAGTGAAAGAACGTGGCTCGAAATTAAACATATTTTCATGAAATCGAGAAAGGGATATAGGAAACTAACGGAATGTTCTCAAACCCTAATCCCCAAATCATGAAGGTAAAAACCCTAACTTTTTAGACATATTTGAATCGTTATTTTTCATCAGTGAGGGAAATTGATACTTACAGTAAGTATCTTCTGCATAAGAATCCAGGAATCACCAAAAGTTGCTTCAAATTTGTTCTTCGATTTTGCTTCCAATTCGTTAGAGAGGGAAGAAGAAGAAAATGGGCGTTAAGTGGAATTACAGATATACGGGCATTAAGGAGAAATACACTAGGGCTTTTTTGCCTTGTTTTTATCGGATATATTTTAATTATAATGCCACAGTGGAAAAATAATACAATTTTTATATTTCGATTGGCTGTTAATACACGTCAGCGGCGTTTGGTGACACGTGATGAACCTCTAGCACAGAAAGGAAAAAAAGTGTTTATTTGGAACAAAACTGTGTTACATGAAGTTTTCAATCGGAACAACCTTAAATAATGTGTCCCAGAGGAAAATCGGGACAAGTTTAAGTGGTCGTACATGATTTTTGCCTTATTTTTGATAGTACAGGGATATATTTGGTTTTTCCGTTTATTTTAAGACGTTAATATTTTTAGCCTAGTACATACTTTAACTATTCTACTAGATACCTGCTACCTTCCGCCAGCAAGAGTAATTCTGACCACAAAGCTTAGGCAAAAAAGAAAGAAATAACCTAATGGTTGTTATCTGAATCTGAACTCGGGTCCCTTAGGCTTTCGATCATTTCATTCACTAATAAGTCCCTTGGATGTGCGTATCAACCTTCTCTATTAATGGTTTTATAAAACTACTTCTCTTTCGGGGACATGAAAGTAACTTTCTGTCTATCTGAACGCACCGAATTGGACAAACCAATAAGTTTTAGCCGTTACTTTGTCAATTGGGAATAAACTCATAGTGAAAAGGTTTGTAATTTTAGCCGTTACATTTTGTTTAGTTGCAAAGTGAATGTAAGCGCATTGAATTAGATCCTACTTTTGGCCAAAATGCCCGGAATTAATTAGTTAGGGGATTTTTACCTTCCTATACTATCTATGAAACTTTATTATCCTTCCTAAACAAGTTTTAACTTAACTAGTCTTATGGTACGCGCTTGGCGCGTGTACCCTATAGCAATAAATATATAAATTTTAATAATTACGTAATTATTATTAAATAATATATTTGAGTTTTGAACTAAAAGTAAAAACAATAATTTATTTATTTTTGTGTTAGAGGTTCGTGCTTTTATTCTTTTATAATAATATTAAAATATAAATATTTTCTTACTCGAACAACATTTTTTCTCTTTATCGATTTTTTTGTATAATATCTAAAAGTTATATTTAATAATTTAAAAAATATATATTTAATTAAGTATACGTGTCTCTCTTTTAATAGTGACAAACTGTATATAGAATCTTCCCCTTAGATCTATGAGTTCAAACATATTTCATATGGAAACGGCGTAAGCAAATATAAAAAAAGAAAACGTCCTAAAATTATGACTCTTATTTCTCCCAGATATATTTATGTTAAAGTTCTAAATATTATGACTTCCTACATAATTTAGATAAGAAAAAATTTAATAATTTCAAAGTACTAAATATTAAAAAAAATAACTAAATTACGATTTTGTCTAATATGAAATCTGTTTTTAAAGGGTAAAAAGGCAAATAATATTTTAATGAGGATCTCTGTCTTTTAATATATTGTAGATGTCTATTACCTTTTATTCAGATACACTTTAGATAAAATTTTATATAAAAAAAAGAAGTAAGTATGGTTTATTTCTTACATCAAATTAAAATGAATTTGACACTTTCTAAGAAATTAGATTGTATTCAAAGTAAATACATTCTGTAAAAGTCAAAACGTAAGTAAAAAAAAAAAAAGGTTTAAGAAAAGACTCCTAAAATTTCGTTTGATAAGGATTAGTGTTCCCCAAAAGATTCCCATAACAAGAGTAGCTAGAATTTTCTTTTTAATAAAGTATGTTTCTCTTTTAGTTACAATTCAATTGCTTGTTGCAAAGATATTTTTCTCTTTTATTTATCTTAGATTTTAGCAATTGAAACAAAATCTAATTCCTTCTTGAAAATATATTTTTCCCATTTATTTATGTATGAATTTTAGGAATGCATTTTTTCACTTTTCTTTTATTTATATAAGAAATTTAGGAATGTTCTATTTTTCCTTGTAACTTATAGATGGGCTTTTTTTTTTTTTTTTACTTTTCGTGATTACATTTTATATTAGATACTACAATTACACTCAATATACTCTTTTTTATTTACATAAGAAATTAAAAAACACTTTTAGGATAATTTCGTCCCTTATTGAAAAGACAATTTTTTATTTACGTTTAGGATATATTTTGTTTTTCGTAAAAAAATTGTTTTGATATTTTACATAAAAGAAAAAGGTTAATGAACATTTTTCAAAGGATCAAATTAAACAATAGAATATTATTTTGCTATCTTTTGGTTATTAGAAAGGAAGAGAAAGCTTCCAAAGGCTCTTCAGCAAATATTTCAAGAGAAGATTTTCATAACAAAAACAGATACATTTCCCTTCTTACACAATTTTGTAGGAATTAAAGTTGAATACAAATTCCTAACTATTAGTATAGTCTAAGATACGTTTTTTTTTTCAGGGTAAAAAGGTGTAAAAATAGTCAAAGTTGTATAAATAGTAGGTTAATTCTTCTATAATTATAGTAAACTTTAAAAGTTCTTGTCACGACCCGGATTTCCCACCCTCGGAAGTCGTGATGGCGCCTACTAATGGGAGCTAGGCAAGCCAATTTAATCTACCTTTTCGCAAAAATTACCAACCATTTCATAAAATCAAACATAATGACATAAAGCCGAAGTCTTAAAAACATAGATAACTGAAAACCAAATGCGGAAGATTAAATACAACTCTACCCAGATCCGGTGTCATTAACTCACGAACTACTAAAGAGTGCTAAAAACAAGTCTGAATAGAAGTACATCAATGTTTGTCTCAGTACAAGGAAAACAAACTAATAACATAGAAGGGACTACGGACTGCGGACGTCAGCTAGGCTACCTCGAAAGTCCCCGGACTGAAGTCGGCTCCCGATCAAATCCTACTGCTGAGGCCCAAAAGCTGCTCCTGGATCGGTGCAAAAAGATGCACGGAGTGTAGCATCAGCACAACCGACCCCATGTGCTGGTAAGTGCCTGGCCTAACCTCGGCGAAGTAGTGACGAGGCTAGACATGACCTACCAAAAACAACCTGTGCAGATATATATGTATATACAAGTGCAACGAAATAACAGCAGAAAATACCAATTAGGCGGGGAGGGGACATGCTTAGGGGAAATACAGATGAAAACAACTTATGGGAAGTAAACACGAAACTACATCAGATCTCATAATCTATATAAGTGGTCGGCGTGCCACACGATCCCATTTCATAATATATAAGTGGTCAGCGTGCCACACGATCCCATTTCATAATATATAAGTGGTCGGCGTGCCACGCGATCCCATTTCATAATATATAAGTGGTCGGCGTGCTACGCGATCCCATTTCATAATATATAAGTGGTCGGCGTGCCACACGATCTCATTTCATAATATATAAGTGGTTTCCCGGCAAAGGAGAATATGACTAAGCGGTTAAATCCCGGCAAGGGAGCAACAACAATAACTTACACGTCCCGGCAAGGGAATAATCACATTTCTTTCTCTTACGTTCATTTCTTACTTTTTAATCAAGTCAAAAATCGAGCCAACGCTCCAAAGAGTTTACACATCATATTTCCTTCTCATTCTCTTCATATCATATAGAAACCATCAATTAACAAGGAAGAGTCACTACAGAATCCCAATTAAGCACAAATAAAGACTCATGGTCATGCTAGACACCGGTGTATAGATACTCGTCACCATGCCTATACACCATACTCAACATTTAGCAATTAGCAAATAATACTCTAATCCTATTCCCTCAAGCCAAAGTTAGATCAAACACTTACCTCGAATACTCCAAACTCAACTCAAGCCTCTAGTATAGCTTTACCCCTCGAATTTGGCTCCAACACAGTCAATTCCAAGTGGTCTTGAAGAATGGGGGCTTCAATGGCTTCCTAAAGCTTGGGAGAGAAGAGAGCTCGTGTATTTTTTTGAAAGAAACCCGTAGCTATTGTTCTGAAATTTAATATAACTGGGCAAAACTTTGCCCTTCGCGTTCGCGTGAAGTGTGTCGCGTTCGCGAAGGGTAAACAGGGTTGGTCAACGCGAACGCGGAAGGTGAAGCGCGAACACGTAGGAGGAATTGGCTGGGGTTCAAGAGATTGGCCTACGCGAACGCGTTGGCCTGTACGCGAACGCGATGGGAAGGGGCTGGGGACCTACGCGAACGCGGTCCAGCCACCGCGAACGCGAAGAAGAAAAGAGGCTGGGCCCTCAGAGTTCCATAACTCTATGCGAACGCGGACTAGTGATGCGAACGTGATGAAGGAACAAAATGAAGCATCACGAACGCGTGAGGGAGGGTGCGAACGCGGAGAAGGATTCACCTGGGCACCCGTTGCAGATTTTCTGCAACATTTCTAAGTTCAAAACCACCCCGAACACCTCCGAAAATACTCCCGAGCCCTCGGGGCTCCTAACCAATTACACACACTACTCAACCACATCCTACGAACTTAACCGTGCGATCAAATCACCAAAACAACATCATAAACGAGGAATCAAACCTCAAAATCAACACTTTTTCATCAAACTACATAAACTTTCATTTTTAGATATTTAGGTCCGAAACACGTCAAACGACGTCCGATTTCGACCAAATTTCACAGGAAGCGCTTAAACCACATATAAGACCTGTACCGGGCGCCGAAACCAAAATACGGCCCCGATACCAACACTATCTAATCCATTTTCATTCCAAATTTCCATGTTAATTTCAGAAAAACAATTTCTTTTAAAAAAATTCATTTCTCGGGCTCGGGACCTCGGATTTCGATTCCGGGCATACGCCCGAGTCCCATATTTTTCTACGGACCCTCCGAGACCGTCCAATCACGGGTCCGGGTCCGTTTACCCAAGTCAACTTTAATCATTTTAAAGCCACATTTTAAAAATTTTCACAGAATTTAACATATAAACTTTCCGGCTACGTGCCCGGACTGCGCGCGCAAATCGAGGCAAGTAAAAATGAAGTTTTCAAGGCCTCAGAAGCACGGAATGAAAGAGAAAACAGGTGATGACCCTTTGGGTCGTC